CCTATGTTTTATAGGTTATGTAAAAGCTTTTGATAAGGTAAGGTACAAAGAACTTTTACCTTAGAGTGCAGTTCACCTGTACAAGGCCCGGGGGCCACAGGTTAAAAGGCAGTTTATGTGGATAGGAGGGGAAGATAATGCTTAATCCTAGACTTGAACAGGTTAAGATTGTAATGATTGGGGAAACATCATCTTGAGAGTTGGTTCCACAGAACATTGGTTTGCGGGGAGAAGCTGTTTAAGTGGAACTTACTTCTCAACAATGGAATACGAAGGGGGGATGAGGGTAGGTGGTTTGCTACAATGTGAGGGGCATGGTGGTTCTTAGCCATGAAGGTTAGAACTGGTAGAACCAAGGAATGTAGTTTGTCTGAGCACTTTCAATGGAAGTAGCAATAGAGCAGTGAGAGTCTTACCACATCCCGTCTGTGAGAGAAAGAGAGGATGGAAAGTGAGAAAGGACTCTATTGAGACTGAAAGGTGAGGACTGGGCAGTTCCTACTCAAATATGACAATGGTACTCCATTTTAGACCTGTTTAAACTGCTAGGTAAGCTTGATCTATTTAGGAAATATATTAGAATAAACTTGGAGCAAACTGCCTGCACACGGATAGAAAATGAATTTGTTACAGTAAAATAGAAAAGGGTATTAAACATGGATGTGTCTTCTCACTGGATTTATTCAACTTTTATATCAAAGCGATCCTGAGAGAAATGAAAATCCAACCAGAATTTATTATCAATGGATTCAATCTTGACAAAATAAAATATGCGGATGACACAGTGTTGATAGCAGACATAGAAAGGAAACTGCAGGACTAACCATCAATTGTAAGAAGACAATGTATGGTTGTTAACAAGAGGGACAGCCCAATGTTTGAAATATGCATTAGAGATGTAGAAAACAAGCAACCATGAAAATTTAAATATCTGGGAAATGTTCGAAAAGAAGATGAAAAATGTGACTTTGAAATTCTGAATATTATGTAATATCAGTCCTTCACTATAGGCAGTGAATGTTGGACAATCTCTTCACAGGTGAAGCAGAAGCTTGAAGCAACAGAAATGTGGTTCTACAGAAGGGCACTAAGAATACAATGCAACAGAATTAAGTGATCCTACAGAAAGATGCTGAGAATATCACATGTAGAAGTTTTAATGAAAATGGAAACAAAAACACACTTATACTTAAAATCAGAGAAACAGTTGAAATTTCTATGAGGAAAGAGGGCTTGGAGAATTTGATACTCACAGGACATACTGAAGGTAAATAGGACAGTTGAAAACAGAAAGTAAATCTAACAAGCTTGTGCAAATGGATGACAGAACAGGGATTGGGCAAGATAATGAAAAAATAAACTTTTCCTAAGAGCTAGAATAGGAAGGCATGGAGGCACACGATTGTCTACTTCCTGAAGGGACATTGCACATCAAAAAATAAGAATATAAGTTTCTCAAAAACCTTGTTTATCAAATGACTTTAAAATGTTAAGGATGAATGTAACTCCACAAAACATTATTGTAAGAACTGGCATTTTTATTCTTGTTTTTCTATTACCAACCATAATTATTATTCCTTTTGGTTATTATTTCATTTCATTTTAATTTCAGTTGCTTGTAATTGCAATTGTATGTGTAGGGTAAAAAATTCAAATATAGCTCTGAGAGAGATCATGGAATAGAGCGGCATGTTCAAGGTTAGATATGATCTTTTATGAGCCAAAGAGAACTAGCATCTCAGTTGGTTGGAACAGCTGAGGCATTCAAGCAAGCTTCCCTAAGGCAAAAGGGATGTGAGTTTGAGCCTTACCAAAAGCCCGATATTTATTTCCAATTCACACTATCTAGTCACTGCTAGAGATCAATGGATAGTGTAAAGTTGCAATAAAAATATATGCCCGCAAGAAATAAGTCTCATTAATGATCGCATTTTAGTTGCTACTGTCCATGCACTGAATCATCTCTCTTGGGAATGAACTTTCTTTCATCTTCTCAAGAGCTTGACATTATGCTCTACTTAGCAAACTTTGGAAAGATGTACACATGAATGACTCTGACATAATGATACAAACACATAAACGTATAAATATGCAATAGATAAATTTTAATCCAGGGTTTACAAGTTCTAAATATTTAATCATAAATATGTGTTTTTACTTAAGTCTTACAAACTTAACATTTTTTTTATATACAGTACTATCCTCAGTGAATTCACTCACTCATACATAAAAGTTGGTAGAATTCCAATATTATATAGCAGGTGGCTCTCTCAGTAGCAATATTAACACACAAACACATACACATGCACACACACACACACACACACACATATATGTATACAGAGTTCAATGGTTAAATTGTTACCATTTTATAATTTTAATTTTGTGCATGCACACTGTTTTTAATTTTGTTGACTGCACAGTATAATAGGCTCATTTGGGCACCATCTGTGAGAAAAAGAGTGCCATGACGCAATTCACTCTGCCAGAAATTTGGAAAAAGCATGCTGTACTGCTTGGCATTCACACCGGAAACTCTAATACAAATATTTCAGAGTTTTTGGGTGTCAATCTGTGGACAGTGCAGAGGATTTGGAAAGAATTGGATGAGTCTAATGGTGATTACAAAAGTACAACAGCTCTGAAAACTCACTCTGATTTTTCTGATAAGAAAAGAACTCATGAATTTGTTGGTAACATGGAGTCCTACATCAAGTACCTTGAGGAGGTAGTGCTGCCTTGGGTCAAGAAGGTGACTGTTGGAAGACCCTGTGTCTGGCAACAGGACTCTGCACCATGCCACTCAGGCAAAAGAACCCAATCATGGCTGTCTGACAATTTCTGCAACCACATCACCCCTTACATCTGGTCACCTAACTCCCCAGACTGCAACTCACTTGATTATTATGTGTGGGGCAGAGTTGAGTGAGAGACCAATAAACCTCCTTGTAACACCAAAGAGAAACTGAAGGCAAGGATTATGGCAGCATTCACCAACTTTAACAGGGAGAAGAGTTGCAGGAAGTTATCTGGAGGCAGTGGTTGAAGCCAATGGTTAGTTTATTGAATAAACTTACTTTTTAGTATTTCAAGATATTTTTGTGTAATTGTGGTAGATATATCTGTTAAAATGAGATGTCTGTGTTAGTTTCATTTTTGTGTAATATTGAGGACAATTTATCCATCGCACCCTGTATATGGTATAACGATATATAAATTTTATATATCAAAAAACAGTTTTGGAGAAAAGATGTATGACAAAGTGGAAAAAGTTTTTGTGTGATGTATTTTGTCACTTATGACTTCATTGGGATATGTTTGTTTATGTTGATGCAACTGCCCATGTATGAATGAGAGATGCTGGGAATTTTAAATTTACAAAAAAAATTTTTTTCCTAACGTGTTTTGGGTATATAATCTAACCAATTTAAATTATATTCTTCTTTCTTTTTCTTTTTGTTTCTATCATCTTTGTTATTAGATATAACCCCAAAATAGAAAATGAATCTAAATTAAATTGACTAGATTGTATACCCCAAAAAAAACTTTTTTAAAATACAGAAAAAAATTGAAAAAAATTTTCTAAAGTTAAAATTTCTAGCATCTCCCATTTGTGCACATGTGTAGTCACATCAGTGTAAATAAACCTAGTCTGATGAAGTCCTAAGGGACAAAACGTGTCACACAAAAACCTTTTCCACTTTGTCATATATAAATATATAAACAAATCTATTACGCCTAACAAAAACACATAAATTACTAAAATTTAAAAAGGAAGTTCTCACTATCAAAAATAGAGCAACAATAGTCAAGATAAGAAAATGTCTAAAAGACTTATCTTAAGACCAACATCAAGTTTCATACATACACCACTTATTTATTGAATTCATTACCAGATGTCATATTTATAAAACTTTAAGTCAGTCTTCACCTAATATTTTTGAATTTTTCTTTATCTTATATATATATATATATATATATATATATATACACACACATAGAGCAATGTATTAGTGAAGCACAACTCTAGCAGGGCATAAATGAAAGATGACCTAATGTAATATTAAAAGGCATGCTCTAAATTTTAACATTCCTATTTCACATTAAGATGTATTGAGAGAATTAACATGGCAGTTTCCAGACTAACACCGGAAATAACTGGACACTGGCAGAGACATCCAAGTTTATTCAGAAGATCCAAGACATCATCAGCCATGAGCAGTTGAAGGCAGTGTTGTCAACTATCCGACATGTTGCACTTAAAGACATCAAGCATCTGAGAACATAATTCTAGCAGGACATCAATTCTTACCATCCCTTCCAGTCCTTATTCTGCCATCCATTTACACATCTCATTAGGAGGATTACTCACTGTTTATGTCTTCAGTATGCCCTGTGAGTGTGATATTTTCCAAGCCCCCTTTCTTCATGCATCCCAGAAAATTCAATTGTTGCTTTCTAAGTAGAAGTGTCTATTTTGGTATTCTCAACATCCATCTATAGAACCACATCTCTGTTGCTGCAAGTCTCCACTTCATCTATGGATTGTTCAGAATTTACAGGATTGATATTACAGCACTTTTCTTTGTTTCTAGCAAAATTTTCTTAATACTTTGTTTAGTTTTTGGAAGGCATCTTTTACTATTCCAATCTAGTCTCACATTTTCCATCATACATTAAAACATTTTTTCAGTTAAATTTCTGTACACACTTGATTCTGACATCTGCAATTTATATTCGCATCTTGTGCTGTTCTTCTTACTAACAACCATAATAATATTAATAAGAGCCACATAACATTGTGAGAAAGAAAAGAAATCTGTTTATACATTAAAGTGTTTTTTTTTAGACATCTTCTTTCAAGTTGATTCAGGACATGGGTGATCTTGTCTCTCTACAACTTACTGCCCTTTATAGCACACTAAGCAACATTTGACTTTTATATCCTCTTTGTCATACAAACTTATTAGGTAGGTTATTTGCTGTTTCCCTCTGTAGCTTATGGCCATATCACATTGAAACACTGGTTCTCATATGATTACTGAAGTTAAGCCATGTCAAGCTTGGTCAGTACCTAGATAAGTGACTGCTTTGGAATACCAGGTGCTGTAAGTTTGGAGGTACAAGTGATGTAATGTATAACAGCTCATAGTTGGAAATCAGAGAGCCAAGTTCAAATTCCATTTTATATTCACCTATGTACAAACACCCTTGAGAAAGGCATGAATCCATCATCTTGTCTATGGGCTAATTGGTAGGACTTGTATCAGTAAAATCATTTTCAAGAAATTCTTACAATCTAAAAATATTTATAATTAGATGATAAGCCATAAAAACCAAATCCAGCAATCATTTCTTCCATATGTCCTTCCTGCCTTCAATATGTCTAGTAAGTGTTAAATTTTCCAAGCACCTCTTCTTCATAATGTTTTCTGGGAATTTCAGCTATCTCTTTCTGAGTTTCTAAGTGTACTTGCGTACACCTAAATTGACAAAACACAAACATAGAGAATAACTTGTATTTTTGATTGCTAAATCAGCTGCTAGGAAAGTTGCTTCACTGTGTCATGCGAGACAATTTTTTTTCCCCAGAATCTATGTACCATTCGCCCTTGCTTCAAATATTACTATCACATCTGGTTTGGTGTCCATGCTATATATTTACAGATTCTTGATAAAATCCAGAGAAAAATCTGCAATGTTACTGGTCCTGAACTGGCATCCCAGCTTCAATCACTCTCCCTGTACCTTTTTTTTCAATCACAGTTGCCCTGTACCTTTTCTATAAATACTTTCATGGTAATTGTTCTGATAAACTTTGTTCTATAGTACCTAGATTTTATGAATGTAAGTGCAGTACTAGATTGGCAGTAAGGTTTCATGTTACAGTTGAAGTGGCTAGATGTAAATGTAAGTTCTTTGCTAACAGATTCTTTTCTCGCATTTCTCACCTGTGGAACTTTCTTCTGGTTTCTTGCTTTCCAGCCAACTTTGAGATTTAAAAATTTAAATGCAATGTCAATCATTATCCACTGTCTTCTTGATTCCTATTCTTATTTTTCTTGCTCCTTAATAATGTTTCTCTTTTTTCTTATTCTTTCACACTCAGTAACCCCAGGTGTCTTTGTAGCTTTATTGCCTTGCTTGGGATGAAATGATCACAGTCACATAACACTGGGAAAGAAGAGATAAAGAAATGTCTTTTATCTCACAATGTTCAGATGTTAAATTGTTTATTTGTTGGCTGTGTATACACACACATACAAACACACACGCACACACACACAGTTACCATATTTATTTTTGATCTTGTTTCCACACACACGCGCACACACACACACACACACACACACACACACACACACACACACACACACATGTCTAATCAAGGAAAGAAATAGAAGAAATATGTGGTGACAAAAAAATCCTATGAATGAGTGGCTGGTACATAATTGTGATAATATTTTATATACATTATGTGCACTGGAGATGTATATGAATGTATATGTTGTAATATAAAAGTGCAAAACAGAATCTTGCAGAGAAAAAAGGATGAAGACAGTCAAAAATTAACAAAATTATGTGCATTTGAGATGTTTACTCATTAATAAACGTGTGTGTGTGTGTGTGTGTGTGTGCAGAAAAAGCAAGAAAGAGAAACTGAATAGAATTTATATAGACCTAGATAGATAATAAACAGGCTGAGATAGATAGATAGATAGATAGATAGATAGATACAGAGAGAGAAAGAGAAAAAGATATATATAATTACATGTAAAAATTCAAATAAACATATATATATATATATATATAATCGGTTTGTATTTCAGTCTGAATATGTGTGCATATGTTTGTGATATTGTTTGTGTATGCATGTTAATCCTGTAGACTCTCTGTGACATAAAGGGTCACAGCCTCACTACATTAAGTGTTGCTGCCATGGTTTCTGAGGTAAGTAGTTTGTTATGATGTTGAGTTTCTAGTCCCACAACCAACTGGTTTTAAATTCAGAGTTGTCCTTCTCCTCGCCTGGTTGACAACCAAAGCTAGAAAGCCCAATCATTTCTGCTATTATTAGTGGAAAGATGCTCTGTTGTTAACTGAGTGGAAAGATAGTTTCATACCTTTTTTCATGAGTTTATTTTATTATCTCTTCTTGGTTAAACCAGCAACTTTTCATCACAACCTTTGTATCAATGTATTTTTGTGTTTACATCCTTATGAGGAGGTACTGGAAAGTTCTCAGTCCAACCAAAAAAGTATTCTAAATTAAATCTGATATCTGGTCATTAGTTAGATTTTTGGGAAGTGAATCAGACTGACAACTTTTCAGCACCTCTTGTATATACCTGATATCTCTTTCAGAGGTATATTAAACTAGATAGTAACTCTGCAGCATATTGTGCAATTCATATGACTTGGTGACTATAAAAACACCCATTTCCCACCAGCCTGGGGATGTGTTGGCCTGTAAAATCATGCAATCTCTAAGTCAAGAGATCCCATTATTACCTGCTATTTAACCCATAGCTTAGGGAGGTGAAGAAATGAATTCATATTTTTCTCATGTGTATTTGTGCAAAAGTAGGCACAATGATCTCAGATAGAAGTTGACGTCATCTCATCCAATCACACTTTTGTAAGTCACTGTTATACTACTAGCAAATAATTTTTCTTTTTTTTAATCATTTCACCCCAACAAAGGTGATAATGCCATTAAGACACAAGGGGTCACTGGGAGTGAATGAGAAAACTTTAGTGAGGCGAAAGGACAATAATAGAACAGGTTTCAGGAAGATAGAAGATAGCAATTGATGTTGCATTTAAATTTTTGAAGATTGTTGGAAGCAAGAAACTGGAAGAGATTTCCAGAGGTGAAAAGTGAAAGAAAGGAAACTAGAAAAATAGTGCTGACAATTTCAGCTAGCTAGTTCAGTAGTAAAACAGTGAAACCTAGTTGCTAATCTAGTAGTATGCTTGAAGGCATGCAGTTGCAGTATTGAAAAAAGAGAGCTCATTAGAACAATGGCCGTGAAAATATTAATTCATTACTTTAGGAAATATGAGTGTATATAAATGTGTATGTATATATGCATATCTGAGGTTAATATAAATATACATATTAGTATGTGTGTTATGTAGATGCACCCATAAATGTGTGTATATGTGTTTGCATGTAAAGGCTTCATGATGATAATAATAGTGACATTCTGTAACATGATCCTGTTGCCCAAATTTTCACCTCTTGAAAGAAGAGTTTCTGTTTTCTTCTTTAAGATTGATGTCATACTGAGGGTGAGGGATTTATTTGTATCTCTAAGTAGGTGTAAGTAGGTGGGAGATTGGTTTAGATCAGAAGTGAGAGGTAGGAAGCAGAACAAGGTGCTGCCAGGGTCCCTAGAGAGGGGGAAAAAAAGATGAAGGAGATGGTGTTGGCGCATATCACTTTACAAGGGAAATCTAAACACCATCCTCATCTCATCATCACTTTCACTGCTTCACACCTGCCCCAGCCAACTCAGCTAAATTCTTGCTTATACGAAAAATTGTTCACTTAGTCCTCAAGGAATTTAAAATTATTAATAGCTGATATTCTTGTGATTCTGATGACATTTTATGAAATATTTCAAGGAGTTTATTTGACTAATTGAATTTAAGACAAGTTCCTTTTAGGATTATTAACTTTCAATTTATCTCCTATCATTAGAGATATGTGACATAATTTAATGATATTGCCACAACTGAAGTAAATAGTAATGGCCTTTATCTGTTGAAATTAGCAAAGTATATCTTAGCCATTTTGCTGCTATTGATTTAGTAGGTAATTATAGGAGAGTGGGTTACCCCTTAAACTGTTAAAGAGTGTATAGGCTAGACAAAAATGGCAAAATAATAACTGTAGGGAATGTAATTCTAGACCCTATGATACTGATCAGAACTCTGATTACCCAAAATGAATTGAACTGGTTTGAACCCAATGGATAGGAAATATTGGCAATGAAAGATTGTCTTTGTCTTTTGAGTTTTAATATAATACTGAAAAGAGAAATCTGACAATAGGGAGGCTTAAGGAAAAGCCAAAAAATGAACTGGGTGATGTTGCATTTAAATTTTTGAAGATTGTAGTTATCAGGGAAGCAAGGAAACCGAATGGAGTTCCACAGGTGGGAAGTGCGATAAAAGAAACTGTTGGAGTAGAAGTGGCAGTTGCATTTAGCTATTTCAACACTTCTGCAAAGACCAATAACTGCTATAATCCACCACCCAAAAATAAAGCAAGGAGAAAGAAATCTGAAGTAAAGTTTGTTATTGATTGAGTTCATTGATGCAACATTGGGGTCACCACTGAGGAATTGCCAATAGACAATGAGAATCTAGAGATAATATGCAACATAGCAATAATCATTCACCCACTTTCTCCCCTGAATCGATACTTCAAATGTACAAAACAACCATTCGCCCTTGCATGGAGTATTGCTGCCATATATGGGCTGGAGCACCTTCTGCTTACCTCGGAGTTCTTGACAAGATCCAGAGACGGATATGTAATCTAATTGGCCCTGATCTGGTGTCTCGTCTGCAGTCACTCTCTCACAGACGCGCCGTCGCCTCTCTCTGTCTTTTCTACAAATACTTCCATCGTAATTGCTCTGATGAGCTGCTTTCACTGGTTCCCAGACTCCATGAATTCAAGCGCCCTACGAGGCTGGCATCCCGCTCCCACCCTTACACTGTAGAAACTTTTAAATGTAGCCATCTCTTCTACTCCAATAGCTTCATACCTCGCACCTCTTGCCAGTGGAACACCCTCCCCAATTACTGTTTCCCTGAGAGCTATAATCTCCAACTATTCAAATGTAATGTCAACTGACATCTCCAGTTACCTTGATCTACCCACTATCCCTCTCCTCGTCCTTTCTTCTATCATTCCTATCTGCTCTCGCACCAAATCTTCCACAACCCCCTGCATCCTAGTGGCTTCACGCCTTGCTTGGGGCGTAATGCTTAAAAAAAAAAAAAAAAATGAAAAGACTATTCTCAAGACAACTGTTCTAGTAATGTCATTATTCATCAACCTTATCAGTAAAAGGGTTATATATTTTCCACCAATG